TCCAAAGGCAATCTAGACCTGCTTCTGGAATGGCTCAAATTTTAAGTCTTGGGGTTGGCCAAATGCTCAGAGTTCTTCCCATGCTCTTGATCAGCAGTATCTTACATCATCCGACATGAGGTAAACTTCCCACTAGGCGTTGGTGCTTGTTCGAAAGACATGTTCAATCAAGGCCCAACACAACATCAAGTGATTTGGACAACCGAGTCTTTCAGTTCAATGCCTGGATCAGGAAACACCATTTACCAGGAGTCACAGAGCTCGGGGCGCCGGTTCCGAACGGAGGAAGGAGTGCAGGTGCCGCTGTCACATCCACTCACTTAGGAACTAAAACCCACCCAACTCCATGTGACTCCTGGTAGGACGAGCGCAGAGCGCGAAAACATGGTACACCCCGCCCCGGCCTCTGCCCAAGGATCCGAGGAACTGCTTTCGGACCTCAGTAGGGTGCGAGGGAACCGCAGGAACCTTCCAACAGTGCACCCCTTTTTCTGCTGCATTTTTTTTTTGGGGGGGGGGAACGAGACAAGGCGTTTTTTGGATCGGATCTGTTGGCAATATAGTTGGAAGATCCGGGCATGCAACGGAAATCATGGCGAATAGTTCCACAAGGGGTGCCGGTTCCGGACGGAGGAAGGAGTGCAGGTGCCCCCAATTTTACATCCGCTCACTTACAGTAGGCTTTCAAACACATTTGGAACTGCGGGCTCGGGTGGATGTACCAAAAAGTATTCCCTGGGAGTCCAACCACCATTGACTTAATGATCTTTTCCGAAGAACCATGGTTTTGCTTGGCATTTGCACTACCAAACCAAGTCGTCAATGCTGATATGGACAGTGACACCAATTTGCAGGTCAGAATGTGGTAAAATCCAAAACAAATGAATCGGTTGGGAGGTCTCCCTCTATTAAAATACAAGCTTATTTTCATTCTGGCTTGGTTGTGTCCTAGGTTGGCGTCCAGAACCCCGTGCCACATCAACAAGAAACCATGGGAGGACTTCACACAAATCACGGGGAGGGGTAAAATGCTGCCAGAAGTCAAGCAGGAAACGTCGTAGTGGCGGAGATGCTATTGCGTGCTGAGCAACAATGGACACTGATAGTTGAGACAGTAGCAATCAAACTGTTGAAGGAAGCAATCCTGCACAAACCTGTTGGTCCAGAACAGGTCCAGAAGGTCCAATCAAACGCAAAATGCAAACCTGTTGGCTGTGTATTGGGCCATTCATCTGCAAATCAGCACCCCGCTGCTTCCACCGTGCGCTGCGACCAGTCTCGCACGAAACCGCACGGAGGCCGCACAGGACCCCCGGAGCGACCGGATCGCGGATCTTGCGCACCGAGCCGTGCGGGGTTGGTGCAGTAGACTACAAACTCTTGAAGGGAAAACATCCATCTGGATGGTAACACATCGGCATATTGGGGAGGTGTTCTTATACCGTTTTTAAGAATATGCTCATTATTCATCAACACTGGAGTCTTGCGCCGCCCTTGCGTCGATGTTCAAATGCTTCTTAGCAGCTCCAAGGGTTCGCCCGTCGATTGGACAGCTAGGCCATCTTCATCGATGACGGGGCCGCCAGGCATCTGTGCAAAAGCGAAAGGCACAGGCACAGTTGCTCTTTTTGGATGTGACAATGCGCGTCTGCCCCCAGAATCTCCAAGTCCTTTTGCACTATTGACTAGATTGCATGTAAAGAACCATCAGCGCAACCTCGGCCGCAAACGGGTCTCCCCGGAATTCCCCTACACCCCAAACCGCGCCTTTCCGTGCACCTCTTCGTAGCTCTTCTTGGGTCTTTCAGTTGGTCTTCCAGTGCTCTGCACCGCCAAGCCTTTGCTATCTCTCACAGGTCCTCCAGGCACCTGACGATCAGAGCGGGTCAGCCCGGGGGGACTGGGGCTGGTCACTGGGATTGCGATCACCGTGCCTAAGTGCATATACATGACACTCCTCAGGCCCTCAAGCGCTCAGACACGCTGCATTTTCCGGCCTGGCCAATCAAAGGTCCTGATCCTCATATATATATATATACACATGTGCTTATTTATATATAATATTGCAACAGTAACATATCCAAATAAATAGAAAAGTAGATCCCCACTAAGAATGTCTTGGAAACCATGCAACTATTATCTATTTGGAAACCACGACTAGGCTGTAGACTCACTCCCCAATCAACAGGAGTTTTCCGGATCGGCCTTTGGCACTGAGCTTTTTTCTTCATGTCATATACCGTGATTTCTTCACTTCTAGAACGAAGAACATCGAACGTCTGACCAGCTTCTTCCAGTTACCAAGCAAAATCTACTTCAGGCCTTGCCATGGACCTCCTCATAGGACTTCTTGGGCTTCTCCGACCTACACCCGACCGACATGGAATGGCTGCGTGGAGGGTGCCGCACTTCGACCGGGACCCGGGGGTCCACGAGAGGTTCGGCCCCGTAGGCACCGTTCGCGTTCGAACTCCAAAGGTCTTTTTGGAGTGAATGTGTCAATTCTTTAGATCCCTTCTGCGATGGCAAGGACCCCGCAGGAGACGGAGGATCCATCAAAGATTGGATCCAGCATGTCCGCAACTGATGGGTGGCTTGGGATGTTTTTGGGATGTTTTTGGTCGGATGATGCCGGATCAACGGAAAGGTAAGCCAATGTGGCTTTATGATTAGATGACCCAAACACGACGAATGGGACTGCCAGGGGTGGTTGAAGAAGGGGGTCAATGTAGCCATATATGGCAGTCCCATGGAGTGTCTGGGTGAGGCAAGATCTCAAGATGCGCCTCCTCCTGACATGTGCCTCAAGATGCCAGCAAGCGACGCCAAGGGCTCTCCAGTGGACTGTACAGCCAGGCCATCTTCATCGATGACGGGGCCACCAGGCATCTGCAAAAGCCAAAATGGAGGGGGAACGGCTGTTTGCTGCTTCTAGTCCTAGGAGCCTCCCTCCCTCCTTCCCTCCCTCCCTCTCTCGACTCCCTGTAGCACTATGTAATCAACAGTCGAGTTGTCGCCACTGTAGGCGTGCCAGGTATGAACAAAACACATGGGACTGACCAAGATTGATTGGGCTGCTGGTCTTCATGGTTTCTTCTACACGACCTTTTTCTCCCTGAAGGATCCCCCTCAAACATAGACACCAGTAAAAATTATTCATCCAAAAGACCAGTCACCAGTAATTATCTACGCATCTACGCTGGCATGTTTAAAAGCAAACATGTCCATGTATAAACCTTTGCTTGGAGTGTTCTATAGTGTTCTGCAAGGCTCAACTTGCTCCCAGCCGAAAGAAACGCCGGGCTCCGGCCTTGCCGTGGACCTCCTCATAGGATTTCTTCGGCTTTTCAGACCTCGTCCCAACACCCGGTGTCGACGTACGTCGGGTGGTCGGCCTAGTAGTCTTTGTTCGGTGCTAAACTGTCAAGTGAACCGCTAAGGCAATCACTCAACCATGTCGAAGTTGAAACTCTACTATCATGATGCTACTGGATGCGTGGATAATCGGATAGCTAACTGGGGACTCTTTTGGGATTTGGGGTCATCTTCTGAATGCGAGCTTGCGGCTCCAAGGGCTCTCCAGTGGATTGCACAGCCAGGCCATCTTCATCGATGACGGGGCCGCCAGGCATCTGTGCAAAAGCGAAAGGCACAGGCACAGTTGCTCTTTTTGGATGTGACAATGCGCGTCTGCCCCCAGAATCTCCAAGTCCTTTTGCACTATTGACTAGATTGCATGTAAAGAACCATCAGCGCAACCTCGGCCGCAAACGGGTCTCCCCGGAATTCCCCCCATGCGCCGCGCCTTTCCGTGCACCTCTTCGTAGCTCTTCTTGGGTCTTTCAGTTGGTCTTCCAGTGCTCTGCACCGCCAAGCCTTTGCTATCTCTCACAGGTCCTCCAGGCACCTGACGATCAGAGCGGGTCAGACTGGCGGGACTGGGGGGCTGGCGAACCACAGCTCGCGAACGACGCCGCCCGAAGAGGAGGGGCCAATGGGTGTAGAATGTGACACAGATCGAGCTAGCATCTAGTTTGGGAGATGTTACAGGGGAAACACTAAGTCATGTTACAGGGGAAAAGCAGCCACCACATGTCTGAAGAGAGGCTTTCCCAATGCAACCGCCATAGTCAAATGATTCAAATGATGTTAAATTTTAATCAATCAAAACTAGTCAAGGCTGGGTCTAATAGCTAATCCCAATGGCACCGCTGCACAAATATACATTTGGACACAAACATCATTAGAGGTCGCCTGCGATTCAGGTTTGGGCAAGACATCTTACGAACCTTCCCCGCAGCTAATTCTAGTTGACTCTTGCTTCTGGGCATGACATTGTCTGTTGCCTGTAGGACCTACTCGAAGATGGCTCCTTGATCAAGCACCTGGGGATCTGCGATATGATCTCACCTCATGATGGTTATATGATGTCCTAATATGTCCTAGGTGCTGGTAGGCTTGTCAAAAAGGGCACAAACATAGCGCTCCTAGGTGTGTTATATGTGGGCCATTCTATGTCATTCTATGTTGCAGGAAGTTCTCCAAGTTCACCAGAGAATCGATCTTGTTCATGTCCACCGGTCTACGACCAACAGCCTTTCTTCAAGACAAGTGGCCCTTCCGTGGACCTCTTGATAACCTCAGTCACACCCACGAAGGCTCTATGGCTCGCATGTGGTCCGAAAACCAAAAATCCAGTGCACTCCCTGGCATGATCATGGGTCAATCATAACCATTCATTTCTAGGATCCTCAAAAAAAGCATCCATCTCTCTCTCTCTCTATGGGTGGGGTCATTCAAAGTACTCTACGCATTGATCTTGGGGAACTGCCCTCCACAAAAAAGAAAAACAAACACCAAGCAACACACAATAACACACACACAAATAACACACAAAGAAAAACACCACACAAATAACGCACACACACACAAAAGACACACAAGACACACCCCGAAAGCCGTTCTTGTCCAGGAGCTCTTCTTGCCCGACCTTGGCGGCGGTTGACGAAAGCCGTCCAGACCAGGTTTCGTCGAGACGACGGACTCTCGGCAGTTTCGTAAGGGGCCATGAATCCATTGGGGCGAATCATCTCAAGAGAAAGAGGTTGAACATTAGGTAATGTGAGCCCACTTGGCGTTCTATAGGTTCTATATGGTTCTATAGGTTGAACACTATTGGGGCATGAATCCACTAGGTTGAACGCTCTAGTATGCTATGGTGAAGTATGGTGAAGTCACAGTCTAAGGGGTTAGTCATTGAGGTTGAACACGCCAAGTCTGCTGCCGTCAGCTGCCCAAAGAAGTGGACAATCGGTGGTGAATAAGCACTCCAAATCGTGAAGCTGAAATACCTTTCAACCATGTGATCCCAAAGGTCAACGCCCTTTCCAACACATCTTCACTTCGTGCGATCTGGTTTCAGAGTAGATCGCGCTGGCACCCCAAGATGTCTTTAGATGGGGGTCCATATAAACAACTCTTTGGAGATTGTGCCAACCTACTCTGAAACCTGCTACATCTTGCTTACTGGACACCTTAAAAGAAGAGGATCAACATGTAACAAAAAGAGCCTGGCCTTTTTCCATCCTTTTCCAGCTCAGCTCATCCCTCATCAAGCCCTCCACCACCTGGGACCCCCAGGCTCTTCGGCGTCAGGGTCCTCCTTCCGAAGCAGCTGGTTGGTCGAGGGCATTTGAAGACGCAGTGGTCAAGGTGGGTCCCTATTTGATGTCTGCCTACGGTCCTACGATGTCCTACGTTTGCCGGGGCGCCTTAGTGGGGCCAATTTCACGAATGATTGAGTGGAAATGAGTGGAGGGTACATCCTATGTTGAGACAAAACCCTGGAGGCACACCATATATGATCGTATGCCATGGGCCATAGCATACTACCGACTTCCATCATGTCCCATCCCTCCCAGACACTCCATGGGACTGCCATAGGACTGCCGCCCCATTGACCCTTGGTCAACCACCCCAACTGATCGGCAGTCCTCTGGCAGTCCCATGGAGTGTCTGGGCCTGTATACCCTCTTTCTTCCGATTCCAATGTATACGGATCGCATGGCCGACGTCCGAGCTTTTGAACGATCCTGGCTACTTGGCTAGTCTGTCTGACCTAATAGTGATGGCCTCCAACCTAATAGGGATGGCCTACTGGATGGGCTCCAACCTAGTCTCATCATGTCTCGCTTGGTCCTGATGGCACAGTTGGGGAGCCATCCCACAACCCGCAGGACCACCCACTCGGAAGGACAGGGAGGACATGTGTCCGGACTGGCCGTAGGACTGGCAACGAGCAAATGGCGACCGCTCCGCCTCTGTAACTTGGACTCTTGATTCTTGATGAATATATAGAATATAAAACTCCATTTGAGGTAGAAAACAAAGGATCCCACAATACTACTTTACATCAATCCACCTTTTTTCTGGCTGGAATTCACTCCGAGCCGCCTCTGCCCGCTTCTGCCGCACGGCGGAGGTCCCCGAGCCCGCGGCGGGCGAGCCGGGGTCGGCCTCACACGGAGGCGGCCGGGCGGCCGGGCGTCGTCGTCAGGAACCAGCGGTCCTGTACTCGACGGAACGGATGGAGGTCGGTGGAAGATGTGGACGGATGTCAGGCATACTGTACCACTGCCCTGGGTTCAAAGCGCCGCCGGTCTGCTCGCCCATGTTGGAGTCTAGATACAGTGAAACAGGTGGGTTTCAGCCCGCGGTTCTTGTCAAGCTCTAGCAACAGTCCTGCTCAGGTAAACGACAGGGCCACTTTTCCCTTCTGAAAAACCGTCCTTAGCAAATGGACAAACCCGCTGGATCCTATCGCTATAGTCATTGTAGATGCCCTGTTTTGGACGCAGTTCATGCGTGCAGGTTCGAAGCGTCAACCTGGCCTGAACGGTGCAGGAGTGAAGGGTGGGTTCCTTTTCGCACTCTTGATCGTTTTCAAGCGTGTTTCGCATGCTCCAGGCATGCAGCAAGAGTGAGATGCGAAGACGATGAGCCCCTAATAAGTCTAGACTTTCTATGTGTAGCCATATTTGTGTTGGGCAGATCTTGCTACAAGGGCTCAAGTAGGGCGCTCAACCGAAGACCCACGTAAAGGCGGCGGCTATCTCGTGGCTTCGGTTCCACGTGATGGCCAACCGCTCAGTTCCAGGGACCAATCCCCGCCCCCCCCATGACGCGCCTTCTCTTTGCGCAGCATGGCGTTTGCGAGTGGGGTGAGTTTGGAGGAGGATGCTGGATGAAGATGAAGCTGCTCTGCGATGCGGAGTTCTCCCAAAAACTGTGAGGTTGTGCTGCATGCAAAGCTCTTCCCATTGTTCACCCGATTATGGTCCAACAACAACCCATTGACAAGGGTACGAGGTCCTTGTTGCGATCAATTCGCTCAAATCGTTTAAGGTGCCAACCGTCACCAACGAGTGGTGTAGTCTTCGGTATCGTCTCTTCCTTTCGAGTTGATGACCCGACCCGGTCTGGTCAACGCATTGGTTTCGCACAAACACTTGAGTCAGCCAATCTAAGATCTTGAGCCAGAAATGAACCGCAAGCGACCGTCACAGACCTGTCTGAGCGTCACGGACCGTTCATGCCCCCCCGGTCGCTCCCCGGGAGGGACGTGAAGAAGGGTGGCTGTTCCCCCAAAGGAGCTGATCTTCGGGACCTGGTCGAAGTCGATATGCTTGGACTGATGAACGCAAGTGGAAAGAAGCCAGCACCAGGAAATCACAGTGCTGAGACCCCGATTTCGAGCGTCTTCCGAACGAGAATGTCGCCGACTTTCCGTCCACTTCAGATTTTTGCGGGGAGGGTGTCAAAATGTATCAAAGATCTCGTATAAAAGCACATCAATTAAGCACACTTCCTTCAATACATGGTGAGTCATTCCAGGGGAGGCTTGACACCGGACTTGCGCAGAATACACACCTGTATCCTTCAAGGGTCCAGGTCGCAAACCGGAGACCGGTCGCCTACCGATGAGGCGGGCCAGAACGAAGTAATGTGACGTGATTCTTATTAAGGAGTCTTACACTAGGAAAAACCCAGTCAGCTTAAAAACAAAAGAACCACCTAATATCAAACGATCAAAGGTTTCAAAGGATATCAAACGGACTTCCCCACAAACACCAACCTTCGCCTCCCAACCTTCTCTCCGGGCCGCGCCCCGGGGAAAACCGCTCTCCGGTCGAAGCCGACCCGGTCCGGCGAAGCACTGCCCGAGCTCCCGTGCCAATGGGACGTCCAGATCGAAGCCTCGTGACCCGGTGCGAGGCTCGTGGCGGAGAGAGCGCGCGTCCGGGCAGGCACGGCCACGTCGCAAGACCGGATTGGAGTTACGACTCCCTGAAGTCATCGTGCAAGTAGGATGACCAGTTTCCGAAAACCCAAATAGGTGGGTTAGTTTTCCACTTGCTTTTTAATTGATCATCCACGGTGACCCCAGAAGGATCTGTTGAGTACCGTCGAGCTGAAGTGGGTTAAAGTCAAGCAAGCAAACTGGGTTGGACAAATTTGGGACTTCAAGATGAATCAACCAGCCGCAGCCAGAGAATTTTCAAGCCTTTTCCACGCCAAAAATCCATACTGTCCTGGTGAACCGCCTTTTTGGATCCTTTTTGTGCTCGTGTCCGACTTCTGGTAGTACGGCTCGAGTCGACTCGGCTCCGCCTCGGCAGAAATCGTCCAACTTCGCTCGGGAAATCGCTGGAAGAAGAACATGCCCAGCGATTTCCGCTCCGGAAGCGCTCTCCCTCTCCCGTTTCGCCTGCTGGAGTGGGGATGTCCTCCCCCAATTGTCCTCCCCAATGCAGTTCGGTGAGGTGGAGGTGATCCACTGAACTTCCTGACGTCGCTGCCTCTGAGGATTCCCAACTCCGAGAGCTTCATACTCACCAACGCCGAAGGCTTGTTGGAGGCCGACAGGTGCTCGTCCAAGTCCTTCGAATGGCCCCCCGTTGAATGGTGTCCTTTTGGGTCTTCGTTGGGTGTGCTGATCCTTTGGGTCTCCATTCGTTGCTGAATGGCCCAGCAATCTAGCAGTGTGTGCAGTGTGCAACGTGCGAAGGTGCAAACTGGGGACCTAGGGGTCCAAGTCCAAGACCAAGACACCCTGAGGGTAGACGATCCCATGGATCCTGAAAACCACGTCGGCTGGTAGAGGAAAACCCTTGGAAAAGGGTGTCGTTGTCAGGGTCGATGTTAGTTTTCGGGAGTGTAGATCCCAAAAGGATTTCTTTTGCTTCGGTGTTGCCCAACATGGTCTTTGGACTGCTTGCCGCCGGTAGAAGAAATGCCATGAATCAAACCCAAATCCCTGTGAAGACAAGAAGGGCCCTCTGAGCGTGAGCCACCCATGCGGCATCATGCCCTGACTTCCGTCCCCATAGCTTTCTCAAAGAGTGCTTTCTGAACCGAGTGGGGTAGGGCCTACCTGGAACTAAAAACAACCAGAAAGAAATGGACGTTTCCCCAGACCCAACCATTTCCTATTGTAAATGATTTCAAGCTGGCGCCATATTGGAACAACCAGAGCTGTTTCTGGTTGTGGGGTTCCAGGTAGAGTCTAGACTTGGTGATCTGGAAATATCTGAGGTGGGTGATTTTGGGTCCGAAGCATTCACCTCACCGCTCCGGGCCGATGCCGCTGGTACCACACCCCGGGGGTGTTGGACTGCGACCAGCGACGTCACCCACAAGCAGAACTGTTCAATGGCCCAAACAGCTTGGGACGGCTACTCCTTCTCAAGCTCAGCTCACCTTGGTCACAACCTCCGTCTTCTGTCCCGACACAGAAGGATCAAAGGTCCATGGTCCCTGCCTAGATTTTTGAGATTTGGAATGATTTGGACTCGGACCTATCCTGTCCTCATGGATTTTGATACATTGATCTCTCAGCTTCGCGTCCTTCTTGTCCTTCTCCCTCAAGACAGACGGAACCACTCCGACCGAAGCCACTCCGCGGCGACCGACCGAAGCGTTCCTGGAAGTCGCGGTTCAGGTCGCAGCCCAGCCGGCTCCGATCCTGAAACACCTCACAAAGGTGCTCGGATCGGATGAACACTTGGCCGAGAGGTGGTTGTGGATCGAATGTCGAAAAGGTGGAGTGCCGCTCAAATCGCCCCCTAAGAGGCCAAGAATGGCAAGTGCCAGAAGTGTCGAAAAGGTGGTTAGATAGATTAGATATGGTTACTTGATGTTGATGTTACTTAATTCGGGTGGCATGGAGTGGATCATGGTCACTCCGGTTGGAACTGGACACCCTCTCTGCGTTTAGAGACCGTTTCTACCACTTCACCGCGCTGAGGACTTCCCTTCGGTGACAGATCTGGGGCCCCGACACTGGCCAGGCGAGCTGCAGCGGCATCATCTAAGAAGTGCCTCGATCAACACACACATTGGCCGATGGGGGAGGACACACACAAACACACACACACACACACACACACACTTAGGATATGGTGTACGGAACTGAATGCGGTGCCACACGCCGGCCTAGGGTTCCAGATCCTAAGAGTATCAGTAGGGAACCAGCGAAACCTGGGGGTCTTCAAACGGAGAGGTGGCCCAAAGAGGAAGGAGCCGAACGACGAACCGACAAGATGACAACGTGTCGCGCAAGTCTGCAGAAGGTCAAACTCAACTCAGGAAAAGTTAAAATTCCAGCAGGTACACAATGCGGCGTCCCGCATTGCTTCACCACGAACTGACAGTGTCTTCGTTGGGCAGTGTCTGTCAGTCGTGCACTGCCCCCCTCCGATAAAACAAATGAATGCAAAAGCATCCCTATGACTCCAAGGGTTACACACACACGCCTCCGTGAAGGGAGGCAAGATTCAAAGGAGTAGCAAGGCCAGGAACCTCTAGTAGCGTCAAGTAGCGACCTAGAAGGAAGGCCAGGAGCCCCTAGTAGCAACCCAAGCTAAGGTCCAGACAGGAGGGAAGGGTGGGGAGAGACGAGAAAAAGGAAAGAGAAGGAAGGAAGGTGTTCCCAGCTACGACGCGAGCGTCCAAGGACACACCGAAAGAAGAGCGGAGAAGGGTTCCCAGCTATGACAAAAGCATCCAGGGACACCCAAGGAGGAAGGAAGGTGGAGAGGGAAAAGAGAAAGAAAGAAAGAAAGAAAGAGAGAGGGAGAGAAAGGGAGAGGAAAGAAAAGGAAAGGGCAGGTGTTCCCAGCTACGAAGAATCGTCCAGGGACACACCAAAGAAGGAAAGGGGTGATCCTGAGTCTTCCATTCAGGAAAACCCCAGAAAGCAAGGAAAGAAAGGGGGCAGGGGAGAAGGGGGCTAAGTTCTCCGCAGGTCCCAATGGACCTTGAACAAACTTCGGCCGCTGCGGCCACGTACGCCGTGCCAACGTGGCTGGCTGCTTTGACCGCTGCGGTCACGTAAAGGCATGAGCCAACTTGGAGTTCCAAAGATGGGACAAAAATCATCGGACGTACGGCCTAGGCCACCGTCGCCCGCTGTGGGCACGTACGTTTCCAGAGCAAGGGAAACAGCGACGTACACCCGTTCGACGGGTCCACGGGAGGCACTCTGCGGGCTCATCCCGGGTTGGCACAAGGCCAAACACACTTAGGATATGGTGTACGGAACTGAATGCGGTGCCACACGCCGGCCTAGGGTTCCAGATCCTAAGAGTATCAGTAGGGAACCAGCGAAACCTGGGGGTCTTCAAACGGAGAGGTGGCCCAAAGAGGAAGGAGCCGAACGACGAACCGACAAGATGACAACGTGTCGCGCAAGTCTGCAGAAGGTCAAACTCAACTCAGGAAAAGTTAAAATTCCAGCAGGTACACAATGCGGCGTCCCGCATTGCTTCACCACGAACTGACAGTGTCTTCGTTGGGCAGTGTCTGTCAGTCGTGCACTGCCCCCCTGCGATAAAACAAATGAATGCAAAAGCATCCCTATGACTCCAAGGGTTACACACACACACACCCGCACACACACACACATGGAGGCCCGCGGAGGCCCAACACAAACGTAAAACTGCAAGATCGGCGACCAGCCAAAGCTGCCCAAAGCTGCCCTGATGATCCCCTGGCTTTCTGCCGTCTTTTCGACCTTGGGCCTGAAGGACCAAACAAAGCTTTTCTAGTCTGGTGGGCAACAAGTCTCAAGATCTCGGTTTTTTTGAAAGAATCTCGTCCACACTTTGTACAGTAGAAATTCCAGTTGGTTGAGCATCAAGCACC